CCCCAAAACCCCAAAACCCCAAAACCCCATCAAAATATTTACCGACAATAAATATCCTCAAAATAATAATTAATCATTTTTTCAATTATTTTATTGCTTCTCCTCCCATTTTCATCAAATATGTAATGAACTCGGCATAAACAAATTAAGACTTTTGCATATCTGAGGTGGTATCAACAGCAGTTCTTGACTGATTTACTGTAAATGCTCTATGAAATTAATTTGTGAGATTTCCAGTGTTGTTTGGGTGGAAATCTCTCGCAATACTGCTATCGTCTGAATCATCAATGTCTCCTTTGTCTTCACTCATTGTAATATCCTTTCTCATTTTTGCTGAGATAATATGTTTGTTATGATCGACTATTTTTTCTGATTTCTCCTCAACGAGGCTTGATTTTTTCTTGATATACAAATTGAGCTCTTTAAATAGTTCATTAAGATCATCAGAAATAGGAAAGAATTTAGATTCCGATAAAATAATTTTAAAATCTTCTAGAACCAAAGGCAATGATTCATCTCCAATAACCATTTTGAACCATTCAATCAAATCGTTTTCTAACTACGATCTCATTGCATTAACAAATTCAAAGAAGTCTAACTTTCCAGGCTCTTTGGAATCACCGTATGAAAATAATTCTTCAGCTTTGTGACAAGGGATCTTTAAGTATCTATGAACATCATGCTTATTAATTTAATCATCATCGTCATCATCAATTTCTTAAAAGAGAGTTTTCACATATATTTATGAAATTTTCTTATGAATAGTCAATATCTTAGTTCTTAGCTTAGACATATCTCCAATAGCTGTATCTTTCTAAAGCAAATTAGCTGATGGCTTTATTCTTCTGTCAAAATTATTAGCTTAGACTTGCATATTACTTCCTAGAGTGTTTCTAATATTTTAATTGTTAATTTATGTATTATTTATCACACTCAGGTCATTCCTAACAATGTTAGACTAAGGTTGCCTTAGTAATTCAATTTAAAGCGAGCTTTAATGATTATTCTCTTTTTAGCCAAATGTGTTTCTAGATGATTCCTATCTTTTCTTGTTCATTGCTTGCCTCAGTCTCTCTTAAAATTCTAATTCCTATTACAACTCATCATCCTAGTCCTAGTTTAAGTTGATATCTGGTGGTGGTGAATTTTCAACAATCCAGGGATGATTAAGCGCTTCATAAGCACTAAATCTCTCCTCATAGCTACCCTCAAGTAAGTGGTCTATGAAATCTTTTGCCTCTACTGATATACTTTGCCATAATGGTGCTGTATTGTTACATTTTCAAATATATTACTTTCAAATTAGTCCTCATAGTAATTATTTTCTAGATCATCTGTATTATCGAAAGGTAAGTTGCCACTCAGCATTAAAAACAGCAAGATGCCTAGGCTCCACAAATCTGATTTATATCCATAAACATGTTCATTTCTAACTTCAGGTGGAATATAAAACTTTTCTAGTCCTTTTATTGTTGTATCTATTTACGACTTTGTTATACCTTCTAATTTCCTCATTGCATTGTCATCATCGGAGTCAAGTTTTTTGGCACATCCAAATTGATACTTCAAGAATAAAGATAAATCTACTTACCATAATTATTTGATTTGTATTTTAAAATCTTTTGAATGCAATCGATGACTAATTTACATATCCATGATAAATATTGTGATTTTTGTGCAAATAGTAAAGTGTATAGAGCACCTAATTTACAATTTTAGCTGCTTCTTGCTCACTGAATGTCTAGTTAATTTGTTTTCTGAATTGTAACTCTTGCTTTAAGAAGCCACCTTTGGGAATTCTAATGATAGTTAATTAAAGTAATTACTCAATTTTTAGTGATTTATCTTACTAATCAGTGTCATCAGAGACTAGTTTACAAATATTTGGATGATTCTTTTAAAATGATTAGTTATAACATTAAATTAATACATACAAGAATGAGAAGTAAGTTTTTTTCCTGCTCCATAATTTTTTAATTAATTAAATTTTAAGAAATTGAAAATTTTATAGCAATGGGGTTTTGGGGTTTTGGGG